ATAAAAATAAATTATAGGCTGTAAGATAAACAATTTAGTAATTACAAAAAGACACAATGAATTAGATAGGCCTTATAATTATTGTCATGCGATTAAAGTGTAGGGAATGGGTTCTATAGATCTAATTGACGTGTTCTATCTACTATCTTAATCCCGTTGTTGTTGGAGATGAGCGGGACAAATCAAAATAGTTATTCTTATTCTAAAATTGTGGTAAACACTATTTGATTGTTTTGAAATGATTGAGCAAAGATAATTCGAGATAAAAAATCTAAATAAAACAATTATAAAGTTGAACATAGCAAACGATAAAAGTAATAATGAATTTATGTTGTCAACTTTTATATAGGATTTTTTTCCCACTGTTTTTCAAATAACATTTTTTTTTCTTTTCTTTTTTACTTTCTTAGGAATTTTATTGAAATGGATCATGCCCCCGCTAGACAATCTTGAGCCAAATTAAAACCCCAATTGAGCCCTTTGTAACCCATAATTGCATTCAAACATACTGTTACATGATAATACATAATATTAGACAGGTTAACTGATCGTATTCAGGCAAGATTTAAAAAAATTCTAGTCAATTAGCCATCCATTTGAATCTGAATCCAAGTCCAAATTTAACAGATTCAATAATGACGAATCCGAATTTGAATCTGCCTTATTCAGATGTGAAATTCATAAACTAGACCTTGAATTTTCTTTTTATTTAAATTATAACACATTTGTCACATATTTTTATACCCCAAACACAATTAAGACATTTGTAGTTCTAGATGAAACATGCAAAACACGTTAACCTGTTGTTACATATAATAATGTTAATTTTCAAACCAAATCATATCAAATTTATTCGAATCTTCTTCGTTTAAATTCGATCATTCAAAGTCAGATGTAATCGGTAACTGAGTCTGGAGCCATAATAATAAATAAATAAAATGGAAATGGATTCATCCCAGACCCGATCCGTTAGTAACCCTACATTATTACAAATTATTGCATAATACAATACATTAATATATTTGTGTTGTGTGTGTATATATGTAGACACATGGGGTTGGCTGTTAAAAGCATGTGGGGACGAAGATATTTAGGAGGGAGGATACTGGAAACAAAGGATTGGCTGCAAGTGGGGCACAGATAAGGAACTGTAGGGGGGTTCACATGGGGGGACTGCTACTGATTAAATAGTATGCTCTCTGTGTTGTAATTAAAAGTAACATCATCATTAAATTCTTTATTCTTATTACTATGATGAAATGAAACGAAACCATTTGAATTGAGACCTAGTTTTATGTTGGGTGGTGGTGGGTGTGTCATGTGTCTCCTCAGCTTCTCCGACCCTTCCTTCTAAGTAAAAGGTTACTTAAAAGAATATTCAGGTGATATGATGTGTCACCCTCCCTTCCATCTATAATTTGAGGGAAAAAAAAATATCACATAAGGCCATCTTATATCTATGTCTTACATGTTCATTATTTTTTATTTTTTATTTTTTTTCCTATGTATTATATATATCCTATGTGATATGCCCTTACAATTCTATTGATTACATACTATTTCTCAAAAAAAAAAAAAAAAATTTTTTAGTTACAGTTACATACTATTTTCTATGTATCATATAAAGCAATTAATAGCATTAAAAAGACACACAACTTAATTAAAATTTTTAAAAGACAGAATAATTCGTCGTGAGAGAGAGAGGTAACTAGAAACTGAGTGACTATTAGGTGCTCTTGTAAACAAGCAAAGACTAGGTGGTGCTCCTCCAGCCTCTTCCTTCAAATCATAAATGATCCCACACACAACCTTCAGGAAGTCTAAACACACAAACAAGATTTTATATGATTTAATAAAGAACACCGACACTACTGAACAAAAAATTTAACAAGTTAAATATGCTGACTCACTTTTATTAGATAATTAAAAGACAAAGATGACCCACTTCACAATTTTTAATTTTCTGAAAATACTACATAGAGAAGGGATTTTTTTTTAAGCTCCCTAATAATAACAATTTTCTGCATAAAAGACATTAAAAAATGTAATACTGCCTCAGGTCCCTAACCAAAATACCCGCGCATTTTATCAATTTCTTGGACCAAAATACCCTACGTCTGTTCATCTTCAAATGAGTTGATTTTTTTGACCTGAATGGTGCAATTTCAATATGTGTTTAAACCTTTTCAATCTCAATTTTTATCATTTCTGGTTGTAGGAATGAGAGATGATTCAAAGGAATTTGCGTTGGAATTGTTCGATGCTCTGAGCAGACGACGAAGATTGAATGTTGACAAGATCAGCAGAGATGAGCTTTACGAGTATTGGTCTCAAATCACTGATCAGAGCTTCGATTCTTGACTCCAGATCTTCTTCAACATGTATGCATTATTATTTCACCACCGAACCACTTCTTGTGTTCTTACCTCTATTTTCCCTTCCAATTTTCCCCTTTAAGAAGAAAAACCCATGCAATGCAAACACACAAAATCCCACTCAAATTCTTGAATCTCCATGACAAACCTTCTTTCACTGCTAAGCCATAACTCGTTCTGACCAAATCGGATTCTGATGGTTCATAACTTGTTCAAATGATTCTGTTTGTTAAACTGCAGTTTTGCACATAACTGGAAGATTTGACTGTAAAAATCACAAAACAACTCAGCTGAATGCAATCTGAAAAATTACTCCAATAACTAAAATCAAATTCATATCCACGACAATAAAATTACCAGAAATTTGCTGACATTCTCACAACTGATCTTCATCAGACCTAGACCGTGTCAAACGCCGACGCCTTCTTGGGACTGAAGACCCATCTTCACCTGTATCACTTAATATGTTCACAAAGGAATCATCCTCATCCTCATCCTCATCTACATCGTTGTCGTTATCATCATCGTGTAGACCCAGCAGATTTTCACCCCACAGAAATCGGCGCCTAGAAGATGGTCCTGTTGAGCGCCGGTGTCCTGACCAAGCCCTCGACCTGCCCCTTGGCTCGGTACCTGGGTCCATTGAGCCGATCATCTGAAACAACAAAAATGTAGTCCACAACGGTCCATTAACTTCACCTGAACCCCTTCCCCTTTCAGTTGGTACCCTATCTCCATTCTCAATAGCATAGTCCCCGAGCACAATAGCACCGGGCATGACTGAGCGAACAGCGCTGACAATATCAGCATAGTCTCTCTGGTGCTCAAGTCGTCGCCAAGCTTGTTGTCTTGATGGGTCAATGTCACCAGGTCGAACTGTTGGGTGAACCCTCCTAGCATGTCGACGCAATTCCCTGTAGTTGCCAAAGAACGAGCACGATTCGTGAGAGCAGCTTCGAGGCTTCAGATTAAGGTACTTTCTGGCCTCTTCTACAACCTTCCAGCCCAATACATTTCCGCGACACAAGGGGCATCTCAAAGGCAACTTCAATTCTGGTGAATTCTCCTCCCCATTAGTCTCTTCAAGATCAGCCCTTTCCCATAGAGTATCAGAATCTCCAGTTTCCAAAATGCCTTCCCCATTGGTATCTTGGATGCTATTTTCTCCTAATCCTCCAGCCAATTCAACAGATGCTACATTCTCACTTTCATTCAGAATGTTATTTTCGTGATCTTCAATCAGGTCCGTTGTAGTTCTTGTTGAAGTATTTTGTTGGCTCGTAGGTGAAGAACTGGGTGGAGGAGAGCTGTTTCGGTAATTTGCTTTGAGCTTTTTAAATCGATCGAGGCAATTTGAATGCCTGTAACTTGTATCACAGATGTAAGTTCTACATCCCTTCTCGTGCGAGGAGCACAAGAGCAGAACAGCATTGTGTGGGTGGTCCATGCAGATGGGGCATGAAGCCTGATCCCATTCCTTGTGGAGAGCTCGGATATCTGCCTCATTTGATCGGCTTCGTTTTCTACTACTAGCCATCTAACTGCACTGTAGTATGTCGCTAAAAACATTGCAATGATTAAAACACCAATCATATTCCCCACATAGAGCAATGTAAATGAAACAAAAGAATATAATGTTGGCCAGAACACAGCAGCACAATTTAACACACTGTACCACATAAGTTCACAAGTGAGAATTTTAAACTGAACTACATATGTTCACAAGAGAATTCTCACATGAAAGAAACCAGGTGCTCGTAGTAAGAAGGAAGCATATCAAACTGCTCACCTGCAGAAGTTAAAGCAGCACGCTGCAACTGATCTAAACTAACAAGATGGTATCAACCAATGTTCTTTTCTTTTTCTTTCTTTATGTTCTCCCTCTCTATTTTGTTCGGTGGAGGTGGAGCTCTTATGATGTACTACCACAATTCCCTCTTTCCTGACTTCCTAGGCTTAGTAAATCAGACTTCAATGTTAAACCAGCAATTGACCTTAAATAAACACAATTATTAATTCAATATATGGATCCAGAAGTCACAAAATTTCCAGACTTGTTCATGAATTACACCCAAAGTACCCATAGAAACATTTCCAAACCCCATACCAATAACAAGTCCATCCAGAAAAATAAAATGCACTATTAACTCAAAATATTCCTGGAAAGATTCACTAAATATTCAGATATGTATTTTAAAATTGGCCATGCAGAAATTGAATTTTAATTTTGACATAACTAACCAAAACTGCATTCATACATTCCCCAAAATCCAAAAAGGAACAATATAGAAACAAATACAACCAATAAAGCAAATAAGTTCATACAATCACTTGCAGCTGCGTAAGCCCCATAGTTACTTATAGCCAATCATGCCCTTACTAAAAAATAGCCAACTGGGGTTATAAATTAAATACAGGCCCCTCAACATCTATAGAAAAAATAAGGCTGTGTTTGGTTATGTGTTCCATACACATTTCCACCCACTCATTTGAGTGTAGTGTTTGTTTTGAGCTTTCAAATTATAATTCCACACCTACTTTTAAAAACTCCTTTCCAGGCGGGAAAATTTGGCTAACCCGGTCGTCCTCCTGTGAGGACGTCCAGCCGGTTGACTAGAACAGCGTTTAGCTTTTTTCTTTTTCTTTTTATTTTTAAGCACCTGTTATTTTTATATTGTAAATAAAAAATATTTTCGGAATTTTTTTAATTTTTATATGAACTTTGAATAAAATTTTGAATTATGTGTGTTTGGTTATGAGTTGTAAATTTTTAAATCAAATAACTTTTCTAATTTCAAAAACTCAAAACTCCCTCTAAAACTCATAACCAAACAAATTTTCTACACTCAAATCATAATTCTAAAACTCACAAAATCAAAATACAACTCTATTCTCAAATCATATTTAGAAAACCCTATCAAACGCTACCTAACTATTTCCACTTACAAGGTGCAGTTGACTAAATAGACATTGTTCCTCTAGATAATCCCTACATCATGGTTACAAATTTATTTAATCCAATCCGATAAATGTTTCCCATATAAATATGGTCTTCTTTCACAATGACCATAACCATTACAAGACAACAATCCAGAAAATCAGTACCAAAGCTCCTTCGGTGTTTTATAGAACATAAAGTTTAGTTTGGTTGTGAACACAATTTCCTACAATTCCAAAATCCAATAACTTCCTTGTCAGGGATGCAGCATGTAACTCCCCGGAACCTTCTAGAACAAAAGGCCAGCCAATTATGAAAAGGTTTCCCAGGGGTTATAAACTCACCCAGTTTTCCTCTTATTCTGATGCGGAACTAGCGTCTCACAGGGCCCACCACACTGGTGCTACATGTCTCCCATGTGCTCCCATACATCTGGGTGACATAGAGACTCACACGTGGCCCCACCCATCACGAAGATAGTCAGCTCTAATACCATTTGTAGCGCCCTTGGTTCCTCTAGGACAAAAGGCCGGCCAATTATGAAAGGGTGCCTAGGGGTTATAAACTTGCCCAGGTCTTCCTCTACTTCCGATGTGTGATTACATTCTCACACAACACCAACACACCAGTAAGTTTTAGAAGGATTATTGTAAGGCTGGAAAATGTATCTTTAGCATTCAAAAGTTGTACCAAGCCAATTCATCTCAAATTCAGAACTCAAGATTAAGATATGGTAAAAACAGAATACAGAAGAAAAAATAACCATATGCCATACTACGGCTCTTTGAAGACAATAAATTTGTGACTCAGTCCACAGAAAACTATAAACCAATCAGATCATACCAAAGCAAATGCAAATGACTCAAACAAACCCCTGAAAACAACAACATTAAACTAAACCATTTTAAAGGTCTGAACCAGGATATCCGTAGTGTCCAAAAATTACAAATGCCCTTTTGTCCAAACCTTAGTTTCTAAAAAATTCTAGCCCAAGCCCAACAAAAATTACTTTGACTGTACTAGGGCAGCAATCAGACTAGTTGTAGGAATACAGTAAAACTTCCAATAAATTAAATTTAGCATTCCATTCATTCCATCCCATCATTCACTCAATCACTAACTATTAAGGCCAACATTAATGAATTAAAATCTACTGAGATAGAGAAATGCTTCAAACAATATAGTTCTTAATCACTCACTCATATTTCATCAGTCTAAAAGCAAACAGCCTTGTGCTGCTATAATAAACTCACCATATTAATCTAAGAGATTAGAGAACCTACTCAATGCCCATTCTCCAAAACAAAGAGCACACCAAATAAGTGCTGAAGATGAACATGACAAATGGAACAAATATAAAAACATAAACATCTAAAAGAATTAGTATGCCGAGCTGCTGGCTTGTGATACGGAACAGAAATCAGAAATGTGGGATGAAAACATTTGGTAATGAAGATAACACAAGACAATGCACACAGGCTTTTGTAGAAATACAAATCTACAATGGATACAAAGCAGCTGATACGATTGATAAAGTATAAAAAATTAAAAAAATAAAGTAGCTTGAAGTTGAAAAGGTATCATCAATTTATTTGAATACTCACCAAGTGAATAATATATTCGCACTGATAGCTTCTGAATCTTTACAACACTGATCAGAGTTAGGACATGAAAATTAAACCCGAAACCAAGCTCTCATGCAATGCTCCAAAGCATCCAACATATATTTCAGTAATGAACTGTCCTACAAATCTTGAAGAAATACAGCCTTGAATATAGAATTATTAATTATATCTTGAGCCACAGTCACGACTGAGTCCTAAAACCTGCAGTTATACCGCAGATAATAGTCATGTGCATAATATCTCCACCTAAAAATTGACATCATGAAGAGGCTAAAATTAATGGTAAGCATCTTTCCACTATAAACATCTTCCAGTTTAACTAGGTTAAAAGTAAGCCCACATAGACAGTCAAAGACTCGAAAGAAAATGCACACGCACACACAAAACCATCATATATGTATGTGCACGTGTGTCGAGAGATTCAAAAAGAGAGGAAGTGCTTGGACCTCCAGTTTACCACAGACTAATAGGTTAAATTATGTAGCTTCCAATTGATCCAAACAACTTCAGGCAGTCATATATGCGCGAAAATGAAGGCATAGGTTTAAAAATCATTGCCCGGTAAATGACAACAAATGTGGCATCATACGGATCCACCATCGTCCTAAAACCACAACCCACCATGTTCAAAATCACTCCGCACATCAGTATACATATATATAGTAAACATTAACATCACATATAACTTGTTAATAAAACAAAAATTTCAGACTCAAAAGTCAATTTAAAAGATAAATAAATAACAGATACCCAGATGGATCCTTCATCCTGATCCATTTGGAGTTTTTAATACCAAGCTTTATGCTAAATTAATATGAAGTTTGCATAGTGATGAAAATTGAACTTTCCTGGCATACCAAAGTCAGTGAATTTTTCAAACCCTAAAACCTCAAATTCGAACAAAACCAATATCAAGTCCTGAAGTAAGCGAATCGGCCTCCTACCTATTCAACCAATCCCCCCAACAAAACCAAACCCTAACCCTAACCGATATGAACAAATCAAATCCATCCCAACCCATTTAGATATGTAAACATGTAGATCAACATCAACAGCAATTAAATCAATAAGATATCGCGCAAAAAGATAATAATTATCAAAAAAATTAATAAAACCCTTTACGTAAAGGCGCTGAATTACAGTGATTTTTCTGAAGAATTTGAGTTTGATCACGCTTTATCTCTACGATATTGATTGATGAATTCACTGAAATTATACAATCGGGGTTGAATAAATAATGTATCCTTCGAAATTTCGATGAAGATGGACCGAAGAAATTGGGGAAAATATATAAGAAGTATATTTTATTCTCGAAAATGATTTACTTATACAATTTTTATATAAAATTTACAACAAAACGATATAGGAAATATAAGTTATGTCTTTTTATTTCAACTACGTTATTTTATATTAATTTTTTATTTCTATAATATTATTCAGTGGATTTGGTTTGCGGTTTTTTGGATTAAATTTTTTAAAATTTAAATTTTTTAGTTTTTGTATTTTTTTTAGTGAATATTTTTAAAATTTTAACTATTTTTTTTTTACTTTTTTAGATGCACTTTACTTAGATGTATCTAAAAGGTAAAAAATTTGTGAATTTTTTTTTAAAAAAAATTAATAAATACATAAAAATACAAAAAATATACTGATTTCTCGTTTTTTTTATATGTTTGATATTTAGTGAATTTTTAAAAGGTTTTTTTCACAAATTTTTTACTGTATATTTATGTTAGGTATGTCTAAAAAGTAAAAAAAAAAATTGATTAAAATATTTAAAAAATTCAATAAAAACAAAAAAAAACATAAAAAACAAGAAAATAAAATTTTCTGAAAAATATTTTTTAAAAAATAAAACCAAGCAAAGTGATTATTATTTTTATTTTTATTTAGATAAATTATACTCGCATTTATAATATAATAGAGGTGTGGCTATATATTATACTATTAAAAAAAAAATAGATCAATTGTGGTCATTATTAAGTTTGAAATAATTAGAATTGATATGTATATTTTGAGTATAAAAAAAAAAATTGTGACAAAATTTTAAAAAATTATATATTTTATATCGGTTTGGAATTACTTAGAATAATTATTTTTGACTTAATAATTTGAAAGTTAAAGAAATAACTAATAAAGTCAAAAATAAGTAAAAAATTTCACTAATAAATAAAAACTAATTTTGTTTATCAATTTCCAAAATCATATATTTTTTATATTTAAAAAGTTTATGTTTGCCAATCCTTTATTCACTACAAGAAAATGGAGTAAAAAACACGGAAGCATTAGCGACGGCGCGCCTCCCGTCACAAAAAATGGTTTTTTGCGACGGCAACTTAAACCGTCGCAAATAAAGGTTTTAGCGACGGCGTTGTCCCGTCGGTAATAAAATTACGTGGACAGGGCAGTAAATGCGGAAGTATTAGCGACGGCGTTTTTTATCGTCGCAAAAAAAAGTTGTTTTGAGACGGCATATGTTTGCTGTTGCAAACAATGGACCATTTGCGACGGCAAATTTCCATCGCAAAAAAGGCTTATTAAAACGGCACCGTTTTATGAAGTAATTAGTTACCATTTGCGACGGTGTAACACGTACCGTCGCAAAAAGTTAAAAAAAAAAATTGCCCCGCTTTTCCCTTTCATCTTGCCGCTCGATCCTTTCATCCAAATCCCTAAATGTTCGAAACATTTTTTTCCCCCCAAATTCCTCAAACGAGCTACGAAGGCGAACGGCTCTCGATGGTGCGGCGGCGACGACGACTGGTAGCGGTGGTCCGGCAACGAGTCTCTCTCTCTTTGTGTATGCTCTCTCTCTCTCTCTCTCTCTCTCTGTATATATGATATGAAATGATTCATGTTGTCTGCCCTCCTATGTGTTGTGTTTTATGTTTAAGGGTCTAAGTGGGTCTCCTTTGACACTCTAACAACCGGCTCTCTCTCTCTCTCTCTCTCTCTCTCTCTATGTTGCTTGCATTTTGTGTAGAAATTGATTAGTAGGTGTTATATTGTCCAATTGGAAATAAGGGTAAATATGACTCAATCCATCTACATGCCAAACCAACTGTAAAAAAAGAAGTTGTTTGGCTATAAAAAGTTGAAAGTCCGATTTAGGAGTGTTTTATGATGATGAGCTATTAAATAGTTCTGAAAACATTACAACAAAGATATTTAAATTTTATTTAAGAGTTTTTAGGTTTGAGTCCTGATGATCAATTTCACTTTGAGTTTTTCTTATTACGCTAACCATTACTATGAAGTAAAATTTCTCTTTAATATATTTAGAATGTGTTTGAATTATAAGTTTTATGAGACATTGGTGAAGGAATTGAAAAGATAAAAGAATATATATATAAAATATAAGCAATATTTCAATCATTTTTTCTTCATTAATTGTTTTCTCCTTTTATATATGTAAAGGATTAACAGTGCAGATATATATCAAACCTGCTTCTAAGAAATGAGAGAAGGGGATGCAACATAACATATATCAAGTAGAATAGCTAGAAGCTAGCGAAACCATTTTGCGCCCTAATCAGATAGAATCCTTGGCTTCATTCTCAAATGTAACCAAACTCAGCACAACTTTAATACTGTGTTTGGTTGGAGGATTTGAGAAGGGATTTGGAAAAAAAAAATTAAGTGAAATATGAATAAAATATACTTACATTTCACCTAGTTTCACACACCTTTTCTCTTTCTCTTTCTAAATTCCTTTCCAAATTTTCCAACCAAACACAGCATAAAAGAATTGGTGCACAAGAGTTCTTGTAGACCCCATTTTTTGACAACTATTGAATCTTATTGCACTCTAGTTCTGCAATAAAATCATTTTAAAGTCATGTAAAAATATACATAACTCAAGGGTCATACACAAAGATCAATTAACCATCATTGCCTCTGTTGGTAAAAATTTCAAGTTACATTTACCACCCACAAAGAGTACTTTTGGGACTCAATAAGAGACAGGGTAGTCCCTACAACCCCACATTATATCAGATTTTGTGTTCCCCTCACTTTTTTGATTGGGAAGTGTGAGTCTCTACAAAGCCATGTGTGGAAGGTGAAGTAGAAATAACAATACCCCTCATGTGATTATGCCTCACCTCTAATGTTTTATGTTTTCTGAAAAATGTTATAGAAGGCTAAAATTTGACAAGGCTTTATGACCTGTGGAATCACATTTTCTTGTTTATTCTTTTTATTTTTAAAAAAATTAATAATTTTTTGCAACCTTGTCCTAGCCTTCTAATGATAAAGTAGATTGGCTGAATTATTTTTGTAAATAATATTCTGGTGGTGTTTGGGAAGCAAGTTCCCAAATTTTTTTCTCATTTTTTCCACTAAAAGACAAAAGTTTTGCAAAACCAAAAAAAACACATCCAAACAAAATATCACATCTAACCCCATAATCATTTCACTTTTTCTCTCACAAACATCACATCCAACCACATAAAAACCCAACTATCTTCCCAAACACCAAAAATTTTTTATCTCATAAAAACCTACATCTACTAAAATCTACATAAAAACTCACTTCCCAAACACCATCTCTATCTTACTAATAAAATTTTTTTTTATTAAATAATTTTTTAGACAATATATGATTAGTGTGTTTTTGTATAACTCATCTATCAAGTTTATAAATAATGCCGCATAGTATTATGGAATACTAATAATTTGGAGAATTCTACCATACACATCCATTTATCATATGCATCATTAGTTATGTCATTTTTTTTTTCTTTAGTTATGATGAATTATCTTCGTTAATTATGATATTATTTTAGTTAAGACTTATAAGACCTTTGGTTGTGCCTCATGTGGTGTTTGGTTATAATTTATTTATTTTTTTAGTTATTACTCAGAAAGTATGAAATTATATCATTTTTTTATTCAATTAATTGATCTCACGTGTTGTTGTATAAGTATTTCATTTTTTATGTTCTCCTATCAAATCGGTAAATAACTAACTAGGATAAGACCACCTACCTATTTGAGAGAAATTGGACGGATAGATATCATGGTACATGAATACGTAGGTATTATATTTAGAATTACTTTGATAAGATATTTTTGTGGATGTGTACAGATGATGGATAAGAATTGGATTGATTTTCCAAATAGGATGTCGAGCGAATACATTAATGGGATTGATGAATTCCTTGTGTTTTCCTACACCAATAGGGTTGAAGGTTCGATGATCAGTTGTCCGTGTAGGAAGTGTGAGAATCGATACCCACATGTCGGTACAAGTGTTGAGGGTGATGAACCATAGGGGCCTGATCCCCGTGCATCTGAACCCCAGCTCGGTCCAAATGCAGAGACTGCAAAGTATTTCAAACTTCTTCAAGATGCACAAAGTGAATTGTATCCGGGTTGTCAGAAGTTCACATCTTTGTCATTCATTGTTCGACTTCTACATTTGAAGGTGCTTAATCAGTGGACGGACAAGTCTGTTGGCATGTTGCTTGAGTTATTGAATGAGGCGTTCTCGTTGGGTGTGAAACTCCCGGACTCATATTATAAAGCTCAAAAGGTCACAACAGATTTGGGCTTCACGTATGAGACGTGGGATGCATGTCCCAACAGTTGCATGTTGTTTCGAAACGAGGACGCCATTCTTGATAAATGTGTCATATGCAACAGTTCTAGATGGAAATCAAATGGTGATGGTGGTTCAAATGGTCCTAACACAGGTGGCAAACAAGTAGCTGCAAAACAGATGAGGTATTTTCCTTTAAAGTCAAGGTTGCAGAGGTTGTTTATGTCATCCAAGACGGCCAAGTTCATGAGATGGCATGCAGAGGAACGAACTGATGATGGTGTCTTCAGGCATCCTGCTGACTCCCTTGCATGGAAAGATTTTGACCGTCGGAATATTGACTTTAGTAATGATTGCCGAAGTGTAAGGCTTGGCTTAGCATCTGATGGTTTTAACCCATTCAGGACGATGAATATAGTTTATAGTACTTGGCCTGTTGTGCTCATTCCATACAACTTGCCGCCATGGATGTACATGAAGCAACAATTTCTAATTTTATCCATGCTTATTGACGGCCCGAAAGGACCTGGTGACAAGATTGATGTGTATATGCAACCGTTGATTGAGGAGTTGAAAGAACTATGGAATGAGGGTGTGTCAACATTTGATACATCAACAAATCAAATGTTTCAAATACATGCAGCTTTACTGTGGACAATTAGTGATTTTCCTGCATACGCAAACTTGTCAGGATGGAGCACTAAAGGCGAATATGCATGTCCTTGTTGCAATAAGGAAACTACATCGTGTTGGTTGAAGCATAGT